CTCTTTAGTGAAAAAAGCTTTAAAATTAAATATAAGGTTTCTCGTAAGTTGTTCTTATTTTTATTAAAATATGCATAACCACACAACTGTTTAAAGTTTAAACTTTTACTTTAAGGTTTTGAAAATATGTAAATTATTACCTACTTATTATTAGTTGAAAATACATACAATTTTTCATTTAATCTCCAAAGTCTTTAATATTGAATACTATAAGGTTCCTCGTAGGGATTTTTTTTTTTTTAATCATAATTCAAAAAATAAGCACAGCATAAGTCATTTTAAACTATAGGGTAATTTAAATTATAATTTTCCATAAACAACGACATTTTGAAAATATTTGTGTTAATTTTAAGCTATTTGGATTTTTGTTTTTTTCCATAAATAATTAATTAATCACTAAAATCGAAAATGTGCATTCATTCGTTCAAGTGGCCTACTCATTAATGAAGTACAGTGACTTTCCGGTTTTTTAAGTTTACGATATACAAATACACAATATTGGTAGCTGTGATTTGTTGTGTATAGTTATATGTGTACATTATATTATACCATTGGGGTTTGGATGGAACGTGCCTATATAATTTACGTGCAGTAAAATTGTTTACAAACAATAATTTACGTGTGTCGATTACTCGGCGTGCTTTATAAAATAACCAATTATGTGGTATTATACTGTCTAGAGTATATATATATATATATATATATATATATATTATTAAAGTGTGTGTGTGTTTGTATGTCTGTGTTCTGTGTAAACGAATCACCAAACGCTTTCGTTCTAATTTGTCAGGATAATTGTTTTGGCGCGAGTCCACGGTGGTTATTATTTTTGATAGTTATTTCTTACTATAGTGGCTACCTATATTAGCTTTATATTTACTTTAATTTGAAATACCTAAATAGTACGAAAGAAATAGATAACATAATTGATAATAATCTAACAACCACAAGAATAAAGTTAAAAACATATAATAGATACTATTATATTCTGAATAAAAACGTAAACGTAAATTTTAAGCTATTAAATAAAGACTCGATCAGTTACATAAATCTTGTTTTTTTCCCCTTCCAGGAAGTTTGAAGTTATCCTAACTTGACTACTGATTGGTACACACAAATCACTCATAGCCATCTAATGAGTAAAAATGATCCCTCATAATGTGTCCGACATGGAGCACTGATTTAACAATTGAACACATAATGACCGAATGTCGATTATACTCAAAATTAAGTTTGACCCCAAAACTTTCAAGAACATTTATCAGAATCACTAGGCCACAGCAGTTCATCGTTCTCATCCATCTTCTAGTTTATCACAGAGGCAGAACTGCAAAACAAAATATAAACATATTTTAACTAGTTATTCTATCTAATTAGTACTCAGGTTCTATAATATCTACAATTATACAATATACGAGAGTAAAACATTATACAATAGTATTAAAAGCGCATTTAATAGAATTGTAAAAAAAAATATGTTGTAATTTATTTGATATAGGTACTGACAATATAATATAGTAAGTCTATATGTGCAATTATTTTAATTTATTACCTATCGAAGTATTTGTATAGGTAGGCGTCAAATATTTTATTAAACATTTATATTAATTGAAACAAAATACAAATATTGATTCTGAAATTTATATACTTATCAATTCATAATATGTTTTATTATTTGACCCCAACTAAATTCAATTTTCTACCAAAAACGTTTTTTTTTTTATCTTAACCAAAAGCTTAAAACAAAATTGAAATGTATTGATTTTACATACTTTCGTCGTTCCTATGTGAATCTAAAATTATTTAATTTTTTTTATCAAAAACGAGATTATGAACCAACTTAAAAGTGAATAGAGTATAGGGTTAATAATATGTTTTGATAATTGTCATCATCTGTTTCAACGAAATAAATATTTTATTCATGTACTTTAATAGTTGTATTATTTTTGTACACTAATAAGCACAGAACATATCAGTTTGTATTATAGAACAAATCATTTTTAGATACGGGACAAATTGAAGTTCATGTGGTATAGATAGAGATGAGTGATATGATAGTCGACTATTCAAAAATAATATTTAATATAGTATTAGTAGTATAACGTTGTATAAAAATCTACTTCGTGTGTACACAAATTAATATTATGACAATTGTCTGATATATTATAGGTATGAGCTTTTTAAACGATAAAAGAAATAATGCGCTCCAAAGCTCATTACTAAAATTTATAGTGCAATGTGCATGGTCATATAAATTACGACGGTTTCTAACGAGTCAGCAAATAGACTTCCTGTTGAGCTGTATGAACCCGTGAGTGGCTTGAAGAATTCACACAAAAATACCTACAACCCTATTTAGAGTGAACATGAACCGAGAATCACGTTTTCACGAAAACTGTACATTTGATACAAGTATCAAAGTAAAGGGATTCTGGAACTATAGGTTAGGACTGAATTTGTGACTTATAAATAAAACACAGCTAAAGATATGTACGTTATTGTTGTTGTTGATTTGCAAACCTAACTCAACCATTTTTTCTTTTGATGACGCATTTGTTCTAATTTTGATTTTTGAAATTATTAAGTAATCTTACTTACGGACCATATTTTCAAAAACTTAAATTTTTTTAAATTATTTTAGGAGTTTCCTATTTGGTAATATAAATTTTTTCTAGTTTCTGATCCAATTTTAGATCTGATGGAATAATATTCTATAATGGTTTTACTTACTAGTTACTATGTTATTTTTGTTTTGTGTCAACAACTTTTTAAACTGCTTTTGATCCAACCCGTACTTGGTATACTAATTGTATAGCAGCAAATTTTATTTTATTTGTCCAACAAAATTGTAAATTACTAATAAGATTCGTTCAAAATCATTTGATTATACAAAAACATTAGTATTTGTTTTTAAATACAATACAATTCATTATAGTGACCGACCTATTAAAGGGCGAAGTATGTTCAAAATCTATTATAGATAATATTATAGATTTTTTCGGTTTTCAAATGATAACCACTATTTTTTACTGAAAGTGCTTATATTACTGTTGAACAGGTAGTGTTTTCGTAAACGTTTATGTGTTAGGTATCTAAATAGAAATTCTAAGAACTAGATTTTAACTATTTAGACATTTAAAAACTTGCGTGTCTACTAATGATAATTTCCAGTATAATATAAGATTGACAGATATATAATGCTATATAATGAATATAAATGTATAATCATTATTTAAAATTTAAGAAAACTATCTGAAAAATTAGTATATTTCACTTTATAATTATAGCTAGTAAACAATCGGTACCTACATAATTGTATAATGTATATTGTAGTATTTATTACTGATCATTTTCTTGTCATTAATAATTTTTATTCCTACTTATTCATACGTTTAAATCGCTCAATGACTTCTCGTTAAAATTTTAATTTTATTACAGTTCAAAAATAAAAATGGGTTTTCATAGGATACTTCCGCCATCCCCATATAATACAATTTAATGTAAAACTTTTGAGTATAACATAAAAATTTAAAAAATCAAAACTATTAAATATAATAAAATAATATAATGCATTATTGATTAACGAAAAAGGGATGGGCATGATTTTAGTAAAATTCTTTATATTTATGTAATGGTGTTTTTATTATACGCCTATTAATTTTTTTTAAACACATTATCACGATTCGTGCACAATACTGCCTAATTAGTGATTAGTATTCTTTCACTAAAAATTGTATGTCTTTAATATAATGCTATCATGAAGCGAATAATGTAAATATACATATATATACTTTTGACTAATGTACGTATATGTGAAATATATTACAAAATACGTTTAACGTTTAAAATGCATTTCCAATCGAACATAAATTAGTGTTTCATAAAGTTTATAAGTAGGTTTACAATATGAAAGTTAGCTTTAAACTCTCTAGTCTAAAATTTAAATAAAATATAAATATATATATATATATACATACATGCATCGAGACTTATGACTTATGATGTGGTAAAAAAAATATGATTCATATAATATAGGTACTTAATATAAATAATTATACTATATTAAACTATTGGAACAATAGTTGTCAGGAAYAGAATTTCCAATTATTTCATATGAATGTTATCTAACTACGTATAAATTTGAGTTGAACACGCGTGGAAACTGTTGAAAGTTAAAACTTATGTTCTTATTGGGATAAAATATATTTCACTGTACTGTTGTGGTATCGACCACTTTGGAGATGTTAATTAAATCCTAAGATATAGTATAGACAAACATAAATTATAAGATTATAACTATAACATCATGATTGGCTTTGCTACTCAGCTATTTTAAAAGGAGCTTTTTATAAATTTTGTCTTTTGTTTGAACCACCGATTGACAAAGGTGGAGTGCAAGGTGGATTCATAAAAACAGCGTTTATTATGTACAAACATTTCCAAGCTCAGTCAAAGATACATTTAAAATGTTCTTGGCACATATTTTCAGTATAGAGTTCTAAACTAGACTATAGCTATTATGGATGAAAAAAATAGATGTACATAAAATGTTAAAATTTTCAGTGAAAAATGTAATTGAATCAAACAATCGTTAACTGCATTCAATTATTTCTTCAATTATTTTGCTTGGCCCGGCTAGGTCAGTCGGTAGAGCACGAGACTCTTAATCTCGGGGTCGTGGGTTCGAACCCCACGTTGGGTGTCACTTTGTCGTATACGCCGATCACCGACGTGCACAAATAAACGAACAAATTAATTATAAGCACTTTTATTGAACACTTTGACGTCCAGTGGCGATCGAGTCACACGATCACCACCGTCCACCTGGTTCTGACACTCTTGGTGAGTGGTAATCGAGTCACACGACTACCACCAACTGACCACTTTTCTGGCTTCACATATTCCTTAAATATACATTTTACAATCGGTAATATCGATATTGAGTTTAACCTAGTTACATTATACTTACTGACTAAGCTCAAAATTATCTTCTTCTTTCTTCAGCTTAACGCTCCTTCAAGGGCCTGAGCTGCCCCAAGTAAGTCTCTCCACCTTTCTCTGTTGAGTGCTAATTCAATAGACGCATTCACATCCACCAATTGAATGCCCCTCTTCACAGCATACTTCCATCTCGTTCGCGGTCTACCCAGTGGTCGTTTTTTCTGTATCATTGCGGTTATGACCTTTTTTAGTATATCATCTTCAGCTCTCCAAATCTGTCCAAACCACTCCATTTTCTTAGTTCTTATAAACGTTAATATTGTTGGTTTTCCATACAATTGGTACAAATTTTCGTTTTTCCGCCTTTCGAATGTCCATAGATCGAGATTGTACTCCGGGCCAAAAATTTTTCTCAAAACCTTTCTTTCAAATATTGCCAGTTTTTTGTTATCGCCTTTCGTCGTAGACCAAGTTACGATCCAAGTAGGATAGTTGCTGAATATTCTGCAACTATAGAACCGATAACCAATTCTTTACAGGGAATAAATTGTTATTTATTTAGTGCAAATAAACATATTAAAGGCCTAATTAAATATATCAGTGATGACAGGGCTAACAATGAAGAAATATTTCTAATTTTAATGAAAGATATTAATATGTATATTAATGAACTTGGTATAAAATTAATGACTCCAAGAGTATCAACAAAACAAACTTCAAGAAATAACCAACCTTCATCAGGTCCAGAAGAATACTACAGAAAATCTATTTACATACCATATTATTTAGATTCATGTGCACACTATTAAATGAAAGGTTTCCAGAAGATAATTCAAAATATGAGATTATTTCAGTTCATTCTGAGTACTTAAAACAAACTGAAAAAGAAGAATTTATCATACAACTCCAAAATCTAAAATCATTTTATGGAGAGTTCATCATAGAGCATATTGAAGACCTAGTATGGTACAATAAGTGGAAAGAAAAAAAATGATAACAATATGGATTTTCTGAAGTTATAGATGAAGTCACATTTCTAACTTCAATAAAAAATGTCTTTTAATAGCAGCTACACTTCCATAAACTATATGTACCTAGCGTTGAAAGGTCTTTTAGGTTTGTATTATAATTTAATTTAATATATTGTTTAATTTTTACTACCTACTTCAATTATTAATTATGTTTTATATTTGCTTTAAATTAGCTCGCTTATACGACTTAAAACATGGCTTCGTAGTACTATTACTGATAACCACTTGAATGTCTTGGCATTAACGAATATTTACAAAACTTATGTGTAAGCTCAAAAATCAAACATAATAGATGAAACGATCAAATTATTTGCTATTGAGCCTAGACGCATGTAATTTTTATCTAATGACCAATAATCTTAAAATTTTTATAAAATTAAATATTTAATATAATATAAATAATGATTTATAAGATTTGTTTTTAGTGCTCTTGATGTCTCATAATATAATATTTTGATGAAAATATACAGTTAATCGTATTATGGTATTATCGGTTTGTTTACTAAATTTGTAATGAAACTATAAAATACTGCACCTAATATGTTATAGCCTTGTATACATATATGTATAATATACACTCCCCCCACCGGTGAAAATTTCTGCTGATGCCCTTGTACATTTTATACTATAAACAAATGGATCATACTTATAATATAATATATATATTATAATAAAATTACTGATAATTAAGTATTTTATTTTCACTTATCAATTTATATTATAATGTATAGGTTATTGAGTATTCTATTTATATATAACATACTGTGAAATTATAATATTGTGATTTTGATGACAATGAATAAATATAGTAACATTAATAATTTACTTCGAACAATTTGCAAAAAAATTAACAATTAAAAACTATTTAAGAACTATTTCGCGGCAATTATTTTAGTGAAATTTATTTGTACACAGACAATTTTTCAACAAATACCGTTGCATAGAATGTATTTAAGTGTACATTTTTAACTAAACGAAATCTGATATAATTAACATATTGGAATTTATAACAAATTGTATGATATTGTAAAACTATAAATATGATAACTGTTGAATAATTTTGAATTTCAATCATACTCGATAGACATTTTGCAGTACAGTGCAGAGAAATCATTTGGCGTTTATCGTTTTAATGAACTACTGTCTATCATTGGTCCTAAATGTATATATATTAACATACATAATATAACAATTATTGATAAATTAATTCTACGATTTGCCATCCATAAAACAGCAACTGTTATTTACATTCGATAATTTGTTTCCATTAGAGCAGAGTATATTCAGGGGAGCCGTCATGCAATAAATTTATGATTCCCGGAATTAATGAAAATATGTACTAAAAAATACGTATATTTAAAGACCAGTGTTGTAATTAATTCAACGATCTAATGGAAAACAGAAAAAAAGCAGCTCAAAGAAAATGGTGCGATTATTTATACTATACATCGGGCGAGTACATCTAACAACATTTTAATGAATTAATATATTATGATAAATTTAATAATATTAGATGAGTGAAATAAATCAAACCGTTAAATATTTAAACCAAACTTGTAAAAACAGTCAAAGATAAGTAGATAAAAACGTTGACCAGGTGATTCTTTTCAATAAAAATAAATTTTTACATTAAATTAAATATTAATGTACCTATCCAAATTTAAAATTCTACACATGATTGATTTTATTCGATTGATAACTAGTCAAAATAAAACTTTATCCACTAAGAACCGTTATTGTTTTTCAAATTTTATTTTAAAAAATATTGAAAGTTTCAATACTTGCATACATACTTTACTATACGAATTTTTGAAATATATTATGAAATATTCTCTAAACCCAAAAATTTAGACTTGTGGACTTTTACAATTTTTTAAGTAAATGCAAGACTGTCATATTTTGAGATGTGGTTGGTCAGCATTTATGATCATTTGCTGTGTGTGGTGGAAAATGATTGGTTTGGAACATGATATTATGAATGTGTTATGTTTAGTAACGATTTGTAGCTAAAAACCCTGGAGGTCATCCATCTGAGAGCTAGCACTACCAACTGGTGCGTATTTTCAGAACGTTTACGTAGTTGAACGTAAGACCGTATCATACCAAGCAACAATAATTAGTTTTTATTTAGTAAAATAATTTCACAAATGTAAATAAGGCAGTTTTAAATTTTAACTTTATTGGTTAATAGAAAAATAAATTAAAAGTATGGTGCCATAAAGTAAATATAGCTACCATACTTTAAAAACCAACTAAAAGTTAAATAACTCAATATTGATCCATATTTTTTAGTGGTTAAATAATGTTGAATGCTTTCGAATTTCATAGATATATTATACATTTTTTTTTTACTATTCAAAAATAGTCTTAATACAGAATTTATGAATTTTAAGTTATACCGTTTTCCTAATCAAGACGTTAGAATTATTATATTTCGATATAATTTCGAAAAAATATGATACATTTTAATAAAATAATTTAAATTTCGGTTATTACATCGAGAATAAATCAATTTTCAAATATTATACTGATGTAGTTTTTAAAAATTATTTTCAAACATAATAACATTATTTTATATTTTTATCAAATGCATAATATTATGATACGTGAAAAATTGGTTTTATCCAAAGATTTGACAACTCTCCAAAATTTTCAATAAATTCCAATGTTTTTATATTGTGTATAAACAATTTGTCCATAAAGGTATACCTTCATTGGTTTTAAATATAATATTTGGCATCACTCCTATTGTTAAAGTTTATTGTGTGTTCATCAAATGAAATGTATGCAATAATAAAAATCTGAATATCTGATAAGAAAATAAACGTGCTTGTTGGGAATTGAAATTTAAAAATGAAATGGAAAATTCCTGATCTTTTCCCATAAATAAAAACCATCTTTAATATTAACTCAACATGTAAAATAAGCTATCGTTTAAAATGTGTATGTACCGTATTTCTTCTGCTTTCAATCAACTCAAATTGTTTACCTGCTCTATAATAGAAATTACATAAATATATTGTTAAAAATCATTTAAATCTCAATACAAATAGATTAACAGATAATCCAAGACTATTTCATACAGCAATTATTTGTAATTATTATGATTTTTTTGTTGTTTTTTTTTTAAGGCTAAAAATAACTTTTTATTGTGTACTTCTATCTTCACATTCTATTAGCTGATTTTCATCTACATATTTTCTTCTTCGAAGTTACTATAAAGAAATGTTGTTTGTACTCGTAAATCGAATTATTTAAGAACTAGTTTATTTGCTGCTACTATGGTTTATATCATAGGAATCGAATTGTAATTATCAATGGAGCGTAAAAACTATTTTGAAAATATATGAAAAATTATGATAGTTAAAAGAGAAAAATCATATTGATCTGGAAATGCCGTGGAAAGATAACAACTGGAGCAACGGTATCCAGTGTACAAATATCATTGAATAGAAATCAAAAAACAATAGGATACAAAAATAATCGAACACAATTAGACAAGTCATAGCGGAAAATGATGAATCTGAACAGAAAAATGAACTTTAACACTATATGAAAGATGTTTGAACAAGAKAGAATCAAGTAATACGCAAGCTAAAAAAAATAGAAAATATAATTAAATCACCGCGAGTGAATGAGTTGTAATGAAAATTCAACGCTTACTTTATTTTGTTATTTTWGTTAAACGTTTATTTCCAAAACTTATTGTATTAGTACAATTTAGTCATTTGTGGTACAATATTTTAAATAAATTATACTCTTACGAGTGTACAATTAAAATAATTTAATGGATAATCACATTAAGTATGGGGGGAAAATGTGCGTACATAGAACTCACGGTTTGCTGTCGGGTCTTCGTGATTATTGTCTCGGCTCGTGCCGCATATAATCTGAACACAATGGTGTACTGCTCGGATGGCGGTATGTTGACAACTGATATGAACTGCGACTGACGGCGAGTAGTGTGGATAATAATTCTTGGTCTTCCCGGCAACGGTTGTCGTACGTGGTTTTTTCTGTGACTGGCTACTCAGCTCGGACGGCGGTGCTCAGCGTCTATACACGTAGCGATTTAAAAATACAACTCGCGACTCACGGCGGCGGTGGTGGAGTGTATGGAATTGCCGGGTTAGACTCTTTGAATGTCCGTTCGTGATGGTACTTAAATACCACCCGKCTCACTCAGTCTAGGGCAGTTGCTGTTATATTGATCAGGGATTAGCGTCCGTTCGTGGCGGTCTGTAAAAACCGTCCGGCTCGCTAATCACCTTTTCACAGCGGGGAGAAGTGTGTATTGTACGGCGACCAGAAGCTTATACTTATGCAGTTCAATGCTTGCCGGTCCCGGTTAAAATATCGTGTTTTACTTTTCCGTGTTTGGYTGTACCATTATAGATTTTACACATTTGATAGTAACCACTTTATGGTTTGTTATGCGCTGATTCCGAATATGTATATATTTTGCTCGTAACTTAAATCCTTCCTAAAGAAAACTTGATTTCACTGTGGGCGGCGCGCGTTAAAGTAATAGGAGGTCGATCGGCGCTATCTATGTTTTTCTGTCGACGGTTATCGTTCGTCGGTGGAGACGGGTTTCGAGGCGACGGTCGGTCTTGACCGTGGGTAATGAGGACAACTAGAGTGCGCCACTTAATTGGTCACTCTGTTTTTTCTCGTTACAGAGTAAAAACAAATGATTTTGATAAAACGAAGACCATAAGGCGCTAGAGAAATGACTTATTTGTTGAAACATTCATAGAAAGWAGAAGAATACAATTACGAATTGAGCTACCATGTACGGGAAAGAATTTCTGATTTTACCAATATTCAATTCTAAATTACCTAAATTGTACCCAAATCAGTGGTAAATTAACAAAATAAATAACATAATTGATACCGTTAATAATTACAAACGGTTTAAATTAATAAATTATTTTTAGGTACGATTTCTTCGAGGAACACAAAGCAGAAATTGGTTATTTAAAGAAAAATGAAAAGTTATAAGCTGATCATTTAACCTGAAAAATTGTACAATAAAGTCATAGAAGTGATTCATAAAATTACAATAACATCTATCAACGATCCAAGAATACACAAATTAGTTTTTAAAAGAAAAATAAGTGTCGATGAACAATTTGACGAATTATTAGAAGAATTCGGAACGATTTTAGAATTGAAACTGATTTGGTAAAATGTTATAAATGCAAAAGTAGATTAAAAACAGAATAAGTAATAAAATCAAGACCATATCCAATTCCAATTAGTAAAAGAGAGACCGTTGAAAAAATAAATAAATCGGGTTCATTCGAAAAGTTGGATCAAAATACAATTAAAAAATCGAAGTCACCGTAATCGTCCCAGTTAAAAAAAAAATACAAACTAATTATCTGTAATAATCTCAGTATAAGTTTAAAATACAATCTGTGCATAGTACATATATATGACTACATAAAATGTATTAATTAATMAAAGATATTTATCGTTATGACAAATTAGAATTCATAAATAGATTTTGACATACATTTGAAGTTGTTTATAAAAAATAACAAACAGACGTGTTTATTAGTTATTTGTAAAAACATTAAGCTTTCTTGAAAAAATATAGGATCATTCCAGATTAGAATTGAACTTATTAGTTATTAAACATGTAGTATGAAAACCAGATAGATCATCAAAAGAAATATCGTAACAAGGTTAAATTGTGTACATAAAATAAATATATATATTTTGTAATGATTATTTTTCAAGCTTATATTTTTATTAAATTTAACGATTCGGAATGTATATTATATAATAATTTTCAATGCAATACACCATTAAATGAATTATTTTTCACATTTAATATTTAATTTGTTAGAAAAATCTATCAGTCTTTCGGAAAATTTCGTGCATATTACATTGCACGCTGGTTAGAGATAAAAGCTTATACTTAAATATGAATACATTATGAAAATATTAAGTGCATTATATTATTTTTAGCTTATTTTAATAATGGCCTTTGAAAACTGACAACAATAATAATAATTTATTCTTTGTAAAAGGATTTTTCTCAAATTTAAATTTTAACCTGGAATTATTCATGATAAATATGCTGAAAAAATGGTTATATTACATAGGTAACCATTTACTAAACCTGAATAGGTAACTAATAAAATTTATTAAATTAACCAATAACACCAAATGATTATTGTTGTTCAAAATTTTGTATAGTATATAAAAATATGTTCAACTTAAACTATTTGTTTATAACACTTGTGTATTTTAGCAGTAATCACGCGTAAAAAGACCCAAGCTTTAATTGCAATGTTTATGATGATAACATATCTTAATATCTAGAAATATTCTTCAACATGCTCTCAAAGTCTCAACATTTAAAATTATTCAAAAATATATGAATTGTATTACGAATGAGTAATTAATATACTGTAAAACTTAATATCAAGGCAATTTTTCATTCTTTTTTTTTAAAGAGAGAGGTTTTACATTTTTAAATTCGTGTGTAAAATATGTGAACGCAATAGTAATATGTGAAAAAATGTATGTACTCATATACAATGCATCGATAGTAAAATCAGATAAAATTTGCAAGTGKAAATTCATTAAACCTTAATATTGTAATATTTATTTTTTTACAATAGAATTTCAATATCTATCTAGATTAGTAATTTCATAAATTACTAATGATTTTAAAAATGGATCTTATAACCTTATAAGTGTAAGTTGGGTGGTACCTCGAACAACTTTGTTTCATTGTTAAACAGTATTTTAGGTTCACGAAATAGATTTTTATTCATAATATAGACATTTAACAATTGTACTTTCAAAATGTGTAAGTTTTTTATTGGAATTTCAATATTATGTCTTAACTATTTATTCAATCTTCGAAGTGTTTTAAATTTAAAGTTATATTATTTATGTTAATAGGTACTTTAATAATAAATCAATTAAAATGTATAATAACAATAAATTGTGTTTTTTTATTATTATTAATGAATAGTGACTACAAATAAACATTAGTATTATTATCGTAAAAGCGTTTTAAATTTAAAATAATTTTTTATTTGATACTGATACAGGTGTAAACACCGATACTTCTGGTATTAAAAATGTTAAATCGTCAATCAACATTTTCATCATAAAATTGATTCTGTTTCTAAATTTACACTTATTATGGCAACAGTTAGACACACTTAAAATCAAAAAATATAAATGAAAAATAACTATGTTAAGGTGCCTAACACATTTGTAACTCATCGTGTTGGGCTAGGTACCTAATGGCGAGAAAATATATTAATAGGAAGATTGTTAAATAAACATTTTTAATTTATGCTTGAGTTTGAAAGCTAATGTTGACTATAATAGTGAGAGTTATTTCAATAGGTACGTAACTTTTATAACACACTTTATGAGCTAAATATATTTTTATTTGCAACCTTAATATTATTTATTGTAGATACCTAAATTTAATTCTTAATTAATTTACAAATTTACAATGTTCTTTGTGCCTATATTCGCGTTACCTATAAATATTAAAATAAAAAAACAGTTTTCTCTTAAAATATATTAATGAAAACGCACTAGTGTTGTTACATTCGTATACAAATTATACATTTATAAATCATTATAAGTAGATAACTTTTATTGCACACAAAATATTATATTGATTAAGAAGTTTTATCATAAAATATTTTTTAATCAAATAAAACGTATCGTGTCTTAAAAGTTGTTATACCTACGTTATTTTTAATAATGGTGTTTGACACGAACTTCTTGAACTTATACATCTATACCTATAAAGATACCCTCTAGTACCCACCAGGTGTTGGTTCTTTCAAATTATTGATTATTTTGGTAACATGAATTATTGATACATAACTATTTGGTTCTCTAATTCAACTGCTTTTTTTTTTTTTTTTTATTAAACCATCAATGGTAAATTCTAAACTGAGGTCGCGCTCTGGTGGTAGTTATTAATACAAATGGGAACTGTGAAACCATCATAGTTAAGAATCTATTATAACTAGAAAAACAGAATGTGTTAAAAATTGAAGCACTAATTAGTAATACTTAATAACTGCAACATGTTTTTTTTATTTTCTGATAATTTCATTATATCGTATGTTTAAAAAGGTACTTTAGGTACTATTAAAATAATATACACGCAACACGCAAATATTATCTCAATTTATTAATGCGTAAAATATTATCTAACTTTACGTTCGGGAATAATGCAAAACAATCTAACATAAATAAAATACAATCCTTTAAAAACATAGCACTCAGAAAACTTTTAAATGTCCCCCCCCCCTTACATCTTAAAATGCACTATCCACTCTGGCCTAAAAATTAAATTAGTACACGAAGAAGCTATAGCTCATAATACAATGCTTCCACAATCGTCTTACCTCCAACAGCGACCCGTTAATACGAAATCTTACAGATTCTTCTTTTCTTGAAAACCTACCCAGACGTCTAAAACGAAAATGGTGTCGCGACTTACTTTCCCCCCCCCCCTCAAAACAGCTATTGACAAATCACCAGTTTTGTTTAAATAATTCTATAAATATTAATTTAAAAAAAAAAATCGATTAGTGAGAGTCTTAACTGGATGACTTCTCACATCATATAATACCCTGTAGGATAGTGGTGGTTATATACGATTTTCAAGGGGGGGGGACGAAAATAAACCCTCTCTAGAGCATTTTCATATATAGTATACAGCTATTCAAGGTGTAACAGAAAGATCCGAAAAAAAATTATGCTAATTGAACGTATGACAAAAATGTTTAATATTATATAAGTAGGTATATAATTTAAGAAATATAGGTACTCATGTAAGAAAATTCTCAAAAATCATATTTTTGAAAAGTCATTACGTTTTAAATTAATTTAACCAAAAAATATTGAATTTTAGAAAAATTTAAAAAAATAAATTACGATCCGTAATTAAATATTATGTTTAATGAAGATCTCAAGTGGGGGTGATTCAACTATCGTTCCCCTTATAACTGTCATTGCTGTAATATTTAATTATTTTAACAGCAACAAATAATTAAATTTAATTTATAAGTACCTACTCAACCACATAAGCCTATATGCCCCTAAGGTTATAAAAATAAATTTATGAACAACCTATTTAACTTTATATTTTTGAATGAAATTAAGAATTGACTTACAATTTGAAGGTAAGTAAGATAACTATATAGGCCCACACATAGCGTTTTAAATATTATTTTACTTTTTGAAGTAAGTTATGATCATTTTAAAGTTGTGTTTTTTCCATGTTATGCGTTAGAGAGACAATGATAATAACACATATGGTAACGAATAACGATTTGAGTACTGTTGGATAATAAAGATGATTAAGTTCACCACGCAAATCATTCGAAT